ACTACAATAAATACATTACTTGTCTCTAATGAGAGACGAGTAAAATGACACTTCTAGATGAGAAAAATACAGTATCTGAAGTGAAATTTTCACTAGAGCATATCAGATTAGGGAATGCAAGTGACCTGTGAAGCCACAGATTAAAGAGACACTTACTAATTTAGAATAAACCAGACTTTGACTGAGGTATCAACATATTTAAAAATGAAAGTTATTCTTTTCAACAAAAGATAGTAGAGTAACTGGATATCTTTATGGATATTGCTCCTTACTTCACAAAAAAATTAAGTCAAATGTATAGAAGATTAAAAAAAACCCTAAAGCTCAAACTGTAAAACTAGATGGACATGTAGGATGGGATTGTTCCTTATTTTAGAGTAGTCAAAGATTTTTAGCTAGAACACAAAAACAACATACATAAAAACTGTAAATTATTTTCATTGATTTCATCAATTTTAAAGCTTCTGCTATGTGGAAAACACCATTAAATAAAAAAGAATCGCCAACTGACAGAAAATATTTTCAATACCAGAATAAAAGAATAAATTCTGCATAATTTCATTCATATTGCTTTCATTTTTGCACATAATCTTATATTTTGTCACCTTGCTAAATTAATGTTAGTAGTTGAAGCAGATCTGTTAGAATACTTTATGTACAGAACAATTTCACCTAACCATATGTTCCTTCCTTTTCAATCTGTATTTCTTTTATTTCTTTCTCCTACCTTATTTCATGGTTTAGCTCCTTAATACAATGTTTAACTGAAGTTTCAGAAATGAACATTCTTTATTCCTGATGTTATCAGAAAAGAGTTTTGTCTTAACAATTAAACATGTTATATTCAAAGGTTTAGTTTGGTTCCTATATTTCTTTGTTGAATTTTTGTCTAGATGATCTATTTGTGACAGGCGAGTATTGAGGTCCCCATTTTAACAGTATTAGTGCTTATTTGATTTTTCATGTCCATTAATATTTGCTTTATGTAGTTGACTATATTTGTATTTTGTGCATATATTTTTAAGACTGTTATCTCATCCTCTTCAGTTGTTCCCTTAAAAAGTATATAGCAACTTTTTTGTCTATTCTGATCAGTCTACTCTTGAAATCCACTTTGTCTTCAAATAGAATATCTTCGCCTGCTTTTTTTCAGGTTCCTATCACAAGGGATATTGTTTTTTACCCTTTGATTTTTAGTCTATGAATTTCTGTTTTTAGTTAAATGTGTTTCTTTTATGTGGCATATAGCTGAATTTTGTTTCTTGATCCATTCTGCCAATCCGTTTCTTTTGTTTGGGTAACTGAGACCACTAACTTTGATGGTTACAACTGATATGTACTGACTTATCCTCATCATATTATTTACCTGTTGCTGGTTCTTTTTCTTTCCTCGTTTAACTGCTTGGTCTACCTGGTGTATTCCTTCTGTTGGGTTTCATGGAATTGTAGATTTCATTATCTCTTTCTTTAATATCCTTCAGAACATTTTGGAGTGCTGGTTTGCTGGTCATGAATTTCCTCAAGAGTTCTTTGTCATAAAAGTATCATATTTCTCCATCAGTTTTAAAAGATAGTTTTGAGGTGTATATCAATCTAGGGTGGAAGATTGTTTCCTTTTGCATCTTAAAATCCTTCACCCCAAGCTGTACATGACTTAAGGGTTTGTGTTGAGAAGTCTGCTTTAGTTCTGATGGGTTCTTCTTTATAGGTGATTTGTTTCTTTTCTCTAACAGCTTCTCTAACAGCTCATGAGACGCAACACAGGTTCTCAATCAGGAATTACAGACACACACCTGTAATCCCAGCTCTCAGGAGACTGAGGCAAGAGAAACATAGCACGTTTGAAGCCAGCTTGGGATACATAGAGAGTTTCAGGGCAGCCTGAACTACCTAGTGATATTCTGGTTCAAAACCAAAATCAAAACTAAATAAAAAAAGACACAAATTCTTAATACTTAATCCATGATCTGTTACTCACTAATGGTGAAATCATCTCTTTCCCTATCTTTGCTAACAGTATATGAGATGCACGTTTCCTTTAGGTGTGCTGTAAAAGTGATGGGGAACTATAATGTGTTTAGAAGGGAAATAGCCACTGACCCATAACTTACACTAGGAAGAAACCTCCTAAAATGTGTGGAGAAAGTATCCAAAAATGCCATCCTCACGATGTGCTGAATAGTTATCATCCCCTAGCCTACACACAGTGCTACAATCTAGTCCCATGCTTTTGTTAATATCAAGTCTGATCTTCATTATTACACCGGGGTCCCCTTCAGCTGCTCAAGCTGAAGATCCTTCCCATGTAGTCTTTCTTCTCAATTAAAGCTTTTGCCTGTAAATTCATACTGTTCCCACACATGTTATCCATCAGATAGAGGAGCAAGTGGTCAGAAAAACGATAGAGATGGAGAATGTACTCTGCACCCACAAAAGCTTTCCTCAAAAATGAAAAAAAAATGGAGTTTATAGATTTCTAAGATGTTATCTTCCAATTTGATTGTACATTTTGATATTTACTAAGTACCACATAGAGACAGAAATCTTAGCTGAAAGCGGATGATATCACCTATGTGTTTCTGGTAAAGGAAAAAGCTGATATAGAGAAAAGCACTTTTTGAACTGGTTCATGTATTTTAAAAAACACAGATATAGATTGTGGTATAGCATTGAAATGTGTTTTACAAAGCCTTGCTTTTGCCCTGTGCAGAAAACCTAGGCTGACATGCCCTGTTCCGGTTCACTTATATCTTTTATGATCATGTCACCTTGTATTTCTCCATTAAAAAATAAAAGGCAAACTCAGCAATTCCTTTTTCTTAAATTGCTTCAGTAACCAGGAGTTTCCACATTAAAAGTGTTAGCTGTAAGACTATAAAAATAGTCCAATGCTCCATAGCAGGTAACTCCATTTGAACCAATTCTCCTTTCAGGAATGTATCAAGGTCAAATCAAATGACCAGGGGAGGATAGACTATGAGCGAGAGGGGGGCAACCAATTGACATTCAAAGGCAAAAGCACATTGTGCTTGGAATGTTTTGTGCAAATGTTAAACAGCACCACATTTAACCACCTGCTTCTTGTTTAGAAGAGTTCGAATGAACAATTTCAAGCACAATTGAGTAACACTCAAAAGAAAATCAAGTGTAATTTCCTAAGTTGCTGATGCAAGGGTTCTTCTATGAAATCACCATTAGTATTTCTAAACCCAATTTGATTATATTTGAAATTTAATGTACACAGTTCAGTGGCACCTGGAAATTTCTTCATGCAGAGATGGAATTATGAGGAAGACCTCCTTCAATTAGTGTGTGTGTGTCTGTGTGTGTGTGTGTTTACAAAAAAAAAACCCTGGGTCATATTTGTAATAATACTAAATTACTAAAGATGAAGACTTGTTTATTTTTTCTTTCCCTCGTGACAATATTTTGCATGAGTTTTAAAGAATATTAAAAATTAGGGTAAAAGTATGTACCATACAAAGATACCAACACCAGGTCAGCTGTACAGCTCACCTTGAAATTCTTCACTTGTCTACCACCTCTAAACCTTTGCTAATTAGAGGAGTGAGTATTGGGAGGTGTTTGGGTTACTTGAATAAATCTCTGAAGAAGCAGTTCCTTTACTGCCTTTATTAAATACCAACTTCACATGATGCCTTCTGCATTATGACCATTAAAACCTATAGTCTCCCTCAATAATAGCATTGAATTTAAATTACATAACCTGGTCCTCACACATATCCTCCATTCTAGTTGTTTAATTTACTTACAACATGTAACAAAAGTGTTCCAAAACTGAGGAAGAAGAATCAGAAGTAAAAGAATTATAAAGCCTTTATCAAAAGTTAATGCAACACAGTGTTCTGCTTCTCTGAAGCCAAGACCTAGAAAACATCAATTGTGTACAGTTACAGATAAAAACCAAACACCCTTTCTTCTCATGGTGTCATTCGGGAACACTCACCCACAGCAGATTAAGCTAAACTATTCTTGGCTGGGTTTATAACTATCTCTCAAGGTTTATTACAGACATTTGGTAGGTAATGAATTCCGCAGAGTACTTCTCCCTGTGCAAAACAATATATTACTTTTAATGTTTTGAAGTACATCTTCAAGTGTAAATGAAATGACCCCTAATTCCAATGCTCAAGGATTTAGTTACTACAGTAATATATTATCAGATGTGGATATAACATAAAGCCAATGAATACTAAGTGCAATAAAGAATAACAAGATAGTCTTGTTACTTTAGAAAAGGTGACATTCTACCTGACACGTACACTGTATAAATATTTGGAAGAATATTCCAGGCAAAGCAGACAAGGTAAGGTCCTCCGGACAGGTATGTGTTTGGCAAATTCAAGGAACATCAAGAAACAAGAGACTGGAAAGAGCTGGGGATGGAGGTGGCAGACATCAGAAAGGCTATCCAGAGAGGTTGCTCTGTATCTTGAAGCTGTAGACCATGTGTAGTTGTGATTTTATTCTAAGTGATAGAAGCTATTTTAGACTTCAAAGCAAGTGAACACAGTAGTCTTTCAATAAGTGTTGTAAAAAGTATAAAATACTATAAAAATTTTAAAAATGTATTGTCCTGAGTGTCACCTAGACAAACATGCTAAATAATTGTCTCTTCCAGACCTGAAATTCTAGAATTTTACAATTCCCTGGTATGAAGGAAGGAAGCAAAATTCCAATGCTATTAAGCCTCCTTTAAGTTTCTATCACCCATTCCTTACTCTGAACACAAATATAAACACAATTTGGAAATAATGGACCATAACTGGTTCAGGGTGATAACCTTTGCTTGTAATCTCAGCACTCAGGAAGACTGAGGAAAGAGGATTGCCAAGTGATAGCCAACCTGTGCAATTCAAGGACTCACTAAGATAAAAAATGGTAAGAAAGGGCTGAAGAAGTAGCTCAGTATGAAAAGCCTGGGTTCAATGCCCGGTACCACAAGGAAAAAAATGGACTATAAATGTAGAGAAACCAAAATATGTCACATTTTCTTTTATTTAAAATAGAGCTCTATATGCTTCACGGTAACAAGTGCAAGGAATGCTTAATTTATTACCTTTTCCACTTTACAAAACAATACATTTTCAGAAAATGCATACATAAAAATATAACATTTAGGCAGATAAGTATTTACATCTGGAGGCAGCTGAAAGTTATGCAATTATATTAAAATGTTTTAAAATAAACATTTTATGACTTACTGTTGGCAAAGTTAAACATTTTGATATGAAGTCTATCACAGAGTTTCTACTAAATTCTAAAATGCTATATAATTTCTAAATAAAATAAGTATATATGTTATTATAAAATGTATATTTTCACAGACTAGAAATTAATGAAACATTTTAATATCATTCATTTCATTTACAATCTGGAATTCTCTTTATCTTCAACAATTAAATTGCAATTATGTACTAAAATCCCCATATGCACATTTCTGATACAATTTATTGCCCAGTTCTCATTTTAAAACCCAATTTGTTTTTTCACAATGTTTATATACATCCATTTGAGCCTCTCTATTGGAAGGCAATATCTTTTCACATACTTAAGAATAGCAACTAGCTTACAAAAAGTCTTTACAACAGTGATTCTCTTCACAGTAGTTCAAGAGTTCAAGGCATGTTTTGCAATGTCAAAAGGCAATGGTTTTGACATTTGTAATATGTTCTTAGGTATAAGAAGAGTCACACTACCAAAAAAAGTATAATTAGAATTAGTACTTTAAAAGTCAATCGGAAAAATTTTTTTTGAGATCTGAGTCTAGTATTCTGTTTCTGGGGAATTTTAAAACCCAAAACACAAAATAAGTTTGAATAATTCTTATTCAGCTTGATACTAGTATTGTGGAAATGAACTAGAATTTAATATTTTGATTCAGATACTCATATTTATAGACAGAAGAAAAATATTGGATCTTTAAAAGTGCATAAATACTACTACTTAGTCCATGGAAAAAGCAGAAATTTGGATGATTCTTAATTTACGTGTTTCTGGGCAGAACTTCGGCACACTATCTTGTTTTATAAGTCAATGAATAGGTTCAGTGTGAATGAAAACTCAATGAAGACATCAAAATCAGGGCCCGTGAAACTTTCAGGGTAGAAAATTTAAAACAGCAGGCCTAACATCTAATTTACTTGCTCTTTTAGAATGGTAGAATGTTTTCTCCTAAGTTCTCTGCTCAGTTTGCAGATGTTAAAAAAAAAACCATCTTGCCTTTTTAATTCCAATTTTCTGAAGATTTATAAGCAGGGTCATTTTTCAAGGATATGTAAGTATATAAGATGCTTGTTTCCTTCTGCAAAGAGCCAATTGCAGATATTTCCCATGTGCCCACCTGCTGGGAGTATTTTTGTGTATCTCAATATGCCCAAATTAATCCTGAGACAGTGTACTACCGTACTCAGATCTTCAGTAATTATATTAATCAGATTTCAAAAAGGTCTGGGTAAAAATACTGCAGTTAAAACTGCTGGATTAGGTGGAGAATCATCTGCTAGTTTAACATGGAGTCAGTTATCAGAGAATGTGGTCATATCTGACAATATTAAAGTTAGGATGAGCTACAACTCATATTTTCCCAAAAGATGTATTCATTTACAACTGAAATAGAGAAGTATCCTGCCAGTTCTTTTAATACATGAGTTTTAAAGGGGGATTGCTACCTAATTTCAATATTATATTCCACATCATATAGCATAATGGTTTGGTTTTAAAAGATAAAGGAAAACAAAGCAATAGTAATAAACACAGCAGGAGTAATTTTAGCAGTCACATTATGGGACATACATTCCACATTCTCTTTCCAAGTCACAGTCTCAACTGAAATTTAGCATTAAACCAAAAGTAGACATTCTTTATATGTTAGATAAAAGCTAGAATATAACCACACAGTCTTTTTAAAGTTTAAAAGAAAGTCATCTCTGCCATTAACAGAACCCTTTTTATAGTGCCAAGAGAATAATTACTGGTGAAGTTATGAGGCGAATCCTCTCATACATGAGGGGGGAAATTAAAATCTTGTTAAGAAGCCCAGTGTAACAATCTGGACAGTGTTCGAGTATAGCTAAAGAGAGACAAGAATCATGAAGGTAGAGTTCATGAAACTCAGAAAATGTTTTTAATGAGGTGAAAGAAAATGAATACTGAGGATGAAACTGAGAAAAGAAAAAAAGGCCAGATAGTATGTCACTAGACATAGTTCCAGAGTCATCTACCAAATCATCTTCCAACCTGTCCAGAGCATGAACCCTCGGAGAAAGAGGAGGCGGCACAGCCATGCAGCCGTGCTGCTCACCGCTGGCACTAAGCTCCTGCCCCTCGTCACCCTCCAGTTACACTCATCAGCACTCCGATGGCTGCCTAGCTTGCATCATCATTTTGAAACTCTTCGTCTATTTTAGTTTTTCTTAGTGAACAATTATTTTATCCTGAGCAAAGTAGAAGCACAGGAAAAGTAGAATTTTATCATCTTTAGATGGCACATTTATGCAAGTGAATAATCAAGGTAAGTTTAGATTCGAGTTAACCAATTTTTTTAATTCGGAGGAGTTGAGTAGGGCACAGTAGGTATCACTACTAGGTTTTGGAAATAACTGGTAGTCATTTAATCTCTGACCTCTGGTTTCCTCCTCTGTGTGACATCAAGCTACAAAATCTCTTAGATTCATTCTAATTCCCCAAAATTCTGGGTTTTGTATTTGTCTGTGACACACGTTAAACAATTTAGATCACTTGGGGATCTCTTTTGATGAAAAAGCTAAATTTCAGAATAATTAAGTAAATAACATGTACTAAAATTAGTAGCTAATAATTTTGAAGGTTGATGAAATATTTTAAAGCAAGTGAGAAAAATAATGGAAGAAAAAGGAAGTTAGAGATGGAAAAAAGAGTATCTGAAAATTTGTACTAAAATGCTTTAGAAAACTTCTTATATTATAGAAATTCTTACTATTAAAATTTTAATAAAAGTTTTACATTTCTGTTGGTATTTTTCTATTTAGCAGCCCTAAAAAATAGTCCTCAGTCAGAGAGTTCACTGTCTTTACTAAAATAGTGGAATACAGTCCAAGTAGGTATTAGCATATGGATAGAACAAAGTATCATCAAACAAAGAATGGTTAAGTTTCACACACACAAAAATAGATTAAGTATACATTAAAAAATATGACCTCATTTAAGATACTAATACCAAACATATCTAAATAGCTTATAATGTTACCTTTATAAACTTATATAAAGCAAAAATTATTGAAGACAACAATTGCCAACTTCTATTCATTTGCTATTTTGATTTGATTTTTTAATGGGAAATAACATTTCCACATTTTAAATAAATTTGTTTAACAAAATAATCAATCAAAAACTATTCCCTAACCATGACTTTAAGGTGAACACTGCATTATGGTGAAGGTCAGCCAGCTCCCTGATTTCAAGTGATTGGTGAGTAGATTCCCTGTACTTAGGGGTAGTTTCCAAGATAGCCCTGAGTTCCTTCTGCCCCGATAAGTCACCTGGTGGCAAAATTCCAAGAAAGTAGTTCTGTTTTCTTTTAGTTAATAATTCTACAATAGTAGAAGTTATAAAATAATAAATTAGTGTAGAACTTCTAACCTAAAGAATCTGTTGTAGATTTTCATTTTAAAATAAAAGCTGATTTTGAATTCTTCAGACACTGTACCCAAGTTACTATTTTCATACAATCATGGAAATTTAAAATGCAAAGTTAATTGAAAGTATGAAGATGAAAAGCAAGTGCTATGCCTAAAATAGTGCATGACAGTCATGTTTCACTTAACTCTCAAGTAAGAACATAATTAAGAATTCTAGATATGACATGCCAAATATTTTAGACATACAAGAATGCATACAAAAGAATCTGTACCAATTACAAACTTAAACACGTAACTTACAAGGCAATAAGTCCATGCTTAAATATTGACAACAAATAATGTTTCTCTTACTTTCAGAGACTGATGCTGCATGTAAATCTCATTACCTCTTTATACAGTACTGAAAATTCATAATCACATTTCCTCAAGCGTTGTATCATATCCAAAAGCCAAAATAATTGAAAGGAGCAAAAACACTGATACTCTGAACCTAACTTACAAAGGATTTCTTTCTAATAACAAATCTGAAAAGTAGTAAATATCACACAATGGGATATCATTAAGAACAAATCATATAAAATTTAACAGCATATATATATATATACAGAAAATCTGCCTGACATTCTAAACTTTATCCTATTTTTATAAGTGAACATTTTCTTTGTAAAGTATGTTGAGAGTTAAGGAAAAAATTATAACTTTTAATATTTTCCATATCATATCTGTTGGTCTATCCCTTTCATTAAAAGTTGTATTTAATAATTGAAGCATAAGGTGATTCACTTAGGAGTCATTATTAACCAACAGAAAAACAAACAAACAAATATCAAAATGTACCAATGTGTAGACCTATAAAGAGTGAAAGGTAAATCCATAAAATATGGAATTATATTTATACACACAAATAAATTATAAAACATGAGGAATAAAACAGAAACATTAAAACACCCTCTCTTAAAAATCCAATAAGTATATTTGCCCAACATACATGAATAAAACAATAAACATTATTCTCACTTGAGACTAGAGTAAGACCCTAGTAAATAAATAAGTTCACTCTTATATGCAAAATCAGTCTGTGAGAAATAAAATAATAAGTACAAACAACAGTAACCCTTCACATCAGCTCTTTTTAAAATCCTTTTTAAAATTGGTAGTCTACTTAGGTTCTAATATCCATATAAAGACACTTTCTAAATGTGTTGTCAATTGAAAGTGATTTTCACACCTATTCTTTAAACCCACTGTCATACTAAGTTCAAGACATCCTACTTTGTATTTTATCTGTCAATTTACTTTCTTCCCACATACTCATATCACTTTTCCGATTCCCAAATTAGATTTTAAAATCCCTGAAGGCAGGACCTATCTATCTTTTTATTCCCCCTTGTGCCCAATATTGTGGCAAGCAAGATATGGGGTACTCCAGATTACTTAATAAATGGAGAAATGCATGAATGAGAATGAAAGCATCCCCACAGCTGTCATCATTTTGTCTTGTCTATCTCGACAAATCAAATGAAGATGGATTCAGTAACATATTTCCATAATGAAATGAAGTATAATCACTGAATTGTGCTTTACATGAAAACACATACCACTGTTACCCAATTTGTGCTTTGTAGAACACTTCCATGTGAAATAGTAAAATATTTCCTCTTCCCATAATAAAAAGACTCCATCATTACCAAATAATTTGATAAATCCAGTTTTTTTAAAATCAAGTAGCTTTTTCTTACTGCAAGATTTCTCAAAGCACATGGTACACTAGCATTCAGGATCACTCTCAATGAAGCTATCAAAGAATACTTTTGTTAGTGGGTCACCTCAGCAGGAGAATTTTCTAAAAAACAATGTTTGGGAAGCTACATTTTAGAAAAATAAAAGAACACATGAAGTCTCCATCACCAAGACAATTATTACATACTTGATGGAAATGTTTAACATCTCATTAAATATTCATCACTCTGTTGCCACAAAAAGTACAATGATGAGAAACTATGAGAGCACTGCTCTGCACCCATCTGCTCATTCTGAAAGGTTAGGGAACTATCTATTCACTGTGGCTGATACTCTATAGCATCTGTTTGTTACACATTTTGAAGTTTCTAAGATTTTTCTCAAAATATTTCTTTGCTTCCTCTCCCTTTTTGATGCTTTTCTTGCAATTTTGTATATACAAAAGCAATACAACTTGTGAATTTCATCTTAAGACATCTTCGGACAGTGGATATTTGTGTTGAGTTAGTCTTTGGAAGTGTACAAAAAACACAGTCTTTAACAAGCAGGGTAACTATTACATTTCTATGAGGAAAATGTCATATTTAACAGGTGTGCTTCTAAAATTTCATGCAGGTCAATTATAATACTGTAAAGTAATTCAGTATGCTTTCTATATTACTAAACTATAAATATCGTAGTGAAAGATGTTTCTGCATACGGAGAAAAGTAGTATGGGAATCCAAAAAAAATGCAGGAGGCTGGCTAACTCTTCAGTGTTGATTGTCACAAGATCTGGGCTATTGCCAACTGTGCCATTAGCTGTTTGACTGTGGTACTTTTCTTAGTATTTCAAGATGTCAGGTGTTTCTTCTGTAAATGAGAGGAAGTATCAGTTTTAATGGCTGATTGAATGGCTTTCAAAGGATTTGCTTTACGGACTGTCGTGGTAGTGGGTGATGAAGAACCAGGGAATGGAGAGGAAAGACGGAGCAAGTGGAGATCTGACCCCACTTCCATATTTCACCGAGCAGCTCGCTGTTACTAAATGTTTTATATATTAAAATTCAGAGCATTATTTATTTTTTTAAAAAAATATTATTAATTTCAACAAGGAGGCCATAAATTGCATGACCTAAAGAGATATTTAGCTACAATATTCTCTAGTTCACATTTTTAATGAATATTCTTCATCTGAGGAGAAATATATTTTACACTGTTTTCTATTCATTCATGTCCTGTTGGTTCAAGTAAAACAAAATCTTAATGATTTATTTTTAGATAGCTTATTTTATACTTTTTAAATAATTTCTCAGTAAGTGAAATGATGAGTTTGTGAGTTGCTTTTCAAAATAAACTTAAAGACCACAAGGAGGATGGATAAAGTCAGCTCCTGCCCATGCTTAACTGCACAGTTATCTTTTCACACTACCTTTGGCCACTTAAATACTGTCCTGTATAATCTTTGAGGTAGAACCAAAAGAACAAAGGAGAAAGAAAATGGCAAAAACATTCACATGAAAAGGGCAGATGTGGGGAGGGGGAAGCTGTGGGCGATTTCTTTGTGACGGGGTTATCATCAAGCTTTGCAATCTTCTTTGACACAAAGTTGCGAAATAGTCTTCTTAATCCGGAGGGCAGTTAGGCGTGCTGCCCCGTTGGCATACCAACACTCGCGCATTATCCTCCCCATGACACGGAGTGCCTTTAAGAGAGAGAAAACCATAAAAAATCAGCTAGTTACACAAACAAAACACCAAAGATGCAAAATCACAAACCCAGTAATTAATTTCAAGCTTGATGAGAAACCACAGATTTGAAACAATGTGAGGAGATTGAGATCAGACTTCAAAACTTCTCTCAAAACACCAAACTACTGTCTTATAGAGACTAATTTAATTGAAGAGTCAAGTCATTGATGTGTGAGAATGTGGCAGAATAGCTGTTTTAGAATTCTCTAAGAGACACGAAAACCATGAAGGGTCATAGAAAGGGCTGGCAAATTCCCTCTGTCTAAATCTGAGTGAGTGGTAAGTTCATGTGGGTACAAACAGAAAAGGTCTATCAAGCTCTCTGCTAAGGCTTATGATTTTTAACTACATGTCAACTACACCTCAATATAAAGTGAACCAGGTACAAATATCAAAAATGTTAATTTTAAAAGTAAGTATAAATAAACTAATAAAGAAAGAAAATAAATATTTGGTAAATAACATGAACGCATGAAACCACAGAGACAGAGGAATCACTGAAGCAGGTAGCTGTTTGGTAGCATCTGTAGATTTCATAGTCTAAATTAGAATTTCAGAACCAGGAGCATACATGAGAAGGACAGCTCATCAAAAAGAACAGTTTGTGCTGTATTATTTGATCATTTTTATGCCTAGATCTTGTACCCTGAACAACTACTTCTAAAATAACAATATACACAATATTAACTAATGTTAATTTCTTACTTTTTTGAAATTCTGTATCCTTTCTGTCCTTTTTTCTGTTTTGCTTTTTAAAATAAAAAAAAGTTTGTAGGAGAAATTAAATCTTTGCTTTTGATGAAAAATAATCAAGTCTTTAATTCTAAACAGTGCGTTAAAGCTGAGCTCGTACTGAAAATCCATAAATATGTGAGGAAACAACGTAGTATAAACAGAGCCAGTTGAGAGAATAACCAAAAAAATCAGACCTATGAGTCAGATAATTAAATAGTATAAAGGAAGTATATAAAATATGGTTTGAAAAAGAAAAATTACAAATATGAGTAAAAAATATATTTTTAAAGTATTAATAAAATTTCTTGATGTGAAAAATATAACAAGTATTCAATGGATGAATCAAACAGCAGATTTGATACATTTGAAGAATATTAAAGAATTGTATGTTAATGCCAAGAGACAAAGCATAAATATGCAAATATGAGCAATTAAAAAACTAACTAGGAAGAATTAAAGGTTTAATATGAATCCAATGCATTGTCCAAAAGTGAGCATTAGAGATAATGAGAAAACAAATTATTTAAACAGAAAGTATTTTAGAACTGTAGGGTGTAGTGGTGCATGCCTGTAATCCCAGCACCTAGGAGGCTGAGGCAGGGGAACTGCTGCAAGCTCAAGATCAGCCTGAACTACAAAGTGAGTTCAAGGCCAGCCTAAACTGCATGGTGGAATTTTGTTTCAAAAAGACAAAAAAAAATTAAACAAATATTGTAGAATTTCCCAGAACTGAGGAGTAACACAAATTATTAGAATTAGCAATGATTTAAATTCCACTCAAGGTTAACTGAGAAACATGACAGAGAAACTGCAGAATGCTAAAAGACATGGAGTTCTTAAAGACATGGAGTTCGGAAGTATTCAGAAATAAAAAAGAAAACATAAATTGGTAACATTCTGACATTTCAACAGCAGTAATGGAAGTCAGATGAATAGTGGAATAATAACTTTAAGGTATTTATAGAAAATAGCTAGTAAAATAGACAATTCAAATTTGTGTGCGTAAATTAGTTCAAGACTAAGGACAAAATTAAAACAATTTTGGACAAGGCAAACTGGAAGAACATAATACCACTATATTACACACAGAGAAAATAAAACCTTTAAAGGATGCATATTAGAAAGCCAAAAATGATTTTAGAAGAAAGCCCTGAAAGAAGAACTATTGAGCAAAGAAAACAACAATATCTAATACAAAGGATTAACCTAAAACAAGATATAAATAAATTAGAAAATCGCATGTTTCAGCAATATGCAAAACTGATCACACATAGAAAGACTATATATGGTATATTCTAGAAGTGCATGATTGGTTCAATAGTAGTAATCTATAAATGCAACCCATTCCACTCAAGCAAAAGCGAAATAACATCACATCGTCAACAAGAAAAAAGACTTTATTAATACCAAACACAAGTTTTTTAACAACTTTTTAAACAACAAAATAAATTTTAAAATGAATTATATATGTACACAAATAATTGTATACACATAAATATATATATATATATATATATATATATATATGTACATACACTGATCCATGATATCATATGTTATACTCAGAAGGAAGAAATTTAAAGTTTTAGGGAGCAAAACAAGGATATCCACTATCATTACTTTCAGGAACATTATATTAGAGGTTCTAAAAACTGCAATAAGAAAGAAATAGCATAAGAACTGGCCCCAGAATTCTCATTACTTGGAACTATGACTATCTATGTGGGCACCTCCATAATTTCAACAGTTTTATGCCTAATATACTTTTCACACATACTTACGTAGCATCATCAATTTTTAGAATAACTGTGTCACATATATGATGCCAATAATAAAAAGGGTAAAAAGATTTTGCTATGTCCATTAATAGAATGTTATACAGCAATGAAAATAGATTGTATCTACAAATTATATATATGCATCAAATATTACATATATGTTATATATTATACACAACAAAGAGTAAAATAAATTGAAAAAATTTATGGTACATTTCAATCATGTAAGTCTCATAAATATTCAGGAAAAAAGTCTTAGGATATACATTTAGATACAAATAAATATATAGCTAAATTCTAAAAAAATCAAGGCACAATAAATAAGTATAATGATAATTAATCATCAAGGCAAAAACTCTTCAAAGTGTTATAAATGTTCTACTTTTCAAAATTAGTATGTTCAAATTCCATTTTATATTATACTCTAAACTTCATAGATTTATATTCTTGCATATACATGAAATTATTAATATTAAAAATTTAATTTCTACTAGGGTATAAAGCCTTCAAAAGCTGTTTTTTTAAATCTATAAGTAAGATAACTGCAAAACATAAAAATACAAAGACTTACCTTATATAAAAAGCTTATAAATATGAAAAGAAAAATAATTAGGAAAAGGGGTAAAGGCACCCATATAAAACTATAATTCTAGTTCTAGGATGACAAAAAATAGCAATGGTCTCTTCTGTGAGGAGCCTTGTCTGACAAAGGAAATTAATTTCAAACTTTAGCAGGTTTGAGTTAGGAATAATTTATAGATTATAAGGATGACAGAAATTGGGATTGGAATCCTCTGTGTGGCATAAGTACTGCCTGCCCACTGAACTTGACTATGACAATCCAGATTCCAGGATCCCTTGCTTAGGACGGACCACATGACTGGTTCTGGTCTGAAGCATGAACAGAAATCATGTGCCACCTCTGCCAAAGCTGTAAGGACCCAATGTGTGAGTCTCGTTCCCTCTCCTCTGACCTTGAGACCTGAGAATTGTGCAGTGAGAGTGCATACTCCAGGATCAGTGAGCCATCTCTGTGTGAACACATGTCTACCTATAGTGGCCAGCTGCCTGTCTGCAGAGGACAAAGTGTGAATAAGACATAAAGCCTTGTATAAACTCACCAGCATTGTTATGCATACATCCAGGTAAAGGGAATAAAAGAATTCTGATGACTTCTATGGAATGAACTGGATGGTTTTAAAGGTACTATATGGTTTCTGAAAATCCTCCCTGACACTCAAATGAAAAATATAACAGATAGGAAGAACACCTATAACCCCAACATGATGAACAAAACGAAAGCCAAACAAAAACCACGAAGCCTTACTTCACAGCTTTGCCACTGGTTTGGGATACTTGGTCGAAGCTTCTGGTCACAAACAACTTTCCTCATCTCCTCTATTGAGGGGTCTGAAGGCACCATATCATAATAAGGCAATTGGTACTCCTCAACAATTCCTGTAAGAAATTTGCATAATAAGTATCCTTGTACAAATAATCAAACAATAATATTTAGGCACAAGAGAAACACAGGGAAGTAAGGTTTATTAAAATAATGTAATACTATAAAGACCAAGAATTCAATTTCAACTGACTTAGTTGTGTAAAATTATGAAATTGTACACTGTGAAAATATAAAAGTTTATATAATAATATATCATACATAATATCATATAAAATTTGTATAATTCTTACCATTTCACAAAATATAGATTTTCTATTATAAAAATTACATGAATTTTTACTTATATAAAATGGCATTTTAAATTCAAAAACAATACTTAAACTCTAATTATCACATTTATAATACAGCCTCATTGTTCTGTGCATTTCTGTCAAATAAAACAAGTTTATCTTTTTGAAAAACTTAAAGCAATTTTCATAAACACGAATTTCTCAAATTTAGGATTGAAAGTTACTACACCTGTGGATTTCCTGGATTTTCAACCAAGAGGCAGTTAAACATGGATGACTTAGCGTGAGGATTGATGTTACAGTCTCAAATCCAGACAAAGGCAACCTTAATTTTCACATTACTCGACTTCTAAGGGCTTTCTTATAAGTTTTTTAAAACTAACTATAGTCCTTTTAATTAAAATATCTGAGGACAAAAAACTCAAAGCAAATCTAGACTAGTATCAATATTTTTACAGCTTGGTATGTACCAAGCATTGTCTTAAGCCCTTTATGCATTTTAACTTATTCCTCAAAACCACTGACTAAAGAGTGAACCACACCATTTCTAGCTTCCGGTGAGAATGCGGAGACAAGGAGTATCGTGAGTGTGCTAGAGAACACACAGCAGATCTGGATTTAAACCCAGCTCAAAGGCTATATAGTTTGTACTCTGCACCGTTAGGACTTTATATTCCTGAATGTTTCACTGTCTCACCCATGAATAAAAGAAAAAAAGCATGGTTTCTAATTCAAGTATAATTTAACCTTATAAGCTTTTTATAAAATCTGCAGGGTTGTAGAAAATGAAATAGATGTAACAAAAGTGCAAAAAAATAAAAAAGACAGTGGCTTTCAAGTTTTTATTGAGGGTTTACCATTAGCAGGCACTGTACTGAAAAGTTCACATAAATTAGATAATTAAACACTCAAAGTCCAAAAACAGGTCAGTTTCATTATTATCTTTATTTTTAAAATCTTTTGTCAGTGCATGTTGGTAGTGTGTAATGTTTACATTCCGTGGGGGGAACTGGTCCAGTCCACAACACATCTTCATTCCTTTGTCATCTGCGCCCCATTCCCTCCCTCCCTCCCCTCCTGATTTTAAAGGTGAGGAACTGAGACTTGAATTGCTGATGACCAGATTCAAGGCATTGCTGAACCCAGGCTTCATTCTGAATCTGTCTCACTTGAAAGTGGAAATTCTAAACCACTTCCTACCAGCTTTTAACTTTTTCTCCACTGATGAAGCAATTTCATAAGACCATTTGCAGGGCTTTGGCCTCTCCAATTCTTCCTGTCATGACTAATTTCTAAACTCCAAAGAGCAGTGGAGATAGAGCGGCTGTCTTTGTTGCCCTCTGCAATCTACCTTATCTTTCATTTATCAGAGGAAAAAAACAACAGGTATATTTTGCAATACACAATAAATACACTTCTAATAGGGAACTGGTACACATACATATCACATCTTGATCCTATTTCCTGTTTCCCTCTCTTCCCTGACATCTGCCCCCACCTCCAGAGAAAGTTCTTTAGAATATAAAGACATAAGCTAACCGCACAAAAATTGAAATAAAAGTGTCTTCCAAATGACCAATATAGAAATCAGAATTATCAGAACTGTCATCCTAAGTAAGACTTACTATAAAAACTCCATTATACACAGGATGTTCCATTTTTCTATTAGAAACATATTAACAAGTGGTATTCTCTAGATATTTAAAAATGATTCAATATAGTGCTTAGGAAAAAAGTGACATTTTGTATTCACAATATCAAGCCAAGGTACATGCAAATGGTATCCAAAATCTTACCTCCAATTGAACACCTTCGAGCTATTTCCCAGTAAACCAGACCAACAGAATAGATGTCAGCTCTTTTGAAGGATTCAAAGATACTCACATTCATTGTATCATCAAGCATTTCAGGAGCCATATACCTTCAAAAACACACACACACCTCAGATTCTCTCTATAACTGTACAGCAATCCAATAAAACACAATCATTAAAAAATTTCAATACAAAATATAAATTAGAGTAGTTTTCATCCATTTTAAAGGAAGATCTGGGCCACGATAGTAGAATAAAGTTAAATAATGTACAGTTATTGTCTCACCCACCAATTTAAAAATATTTTAAGTAGAACCAGAGGTCATTCCATTCAGTATTATAGGTAGCAGTTGTTGCAGAAGCTCTGCACTTAGAAACTACAAGGCGAGGGGAACTAAAGCACTCCACAAAGGAAACGAAACCAATCTCCAGCACAAGGTGTTGCTGCAGAAAGCTCCTTGAGGGTAGAGTGTGTTCATCATGGCACGCCCAGCCCTCCAACACAGTGGGAGGCAGCGTTCCAGATACCGCCTGTGAAGGAACTATTTTAGCAGACGCTGTGCAAGAAAGTTAGAGCCTCTTTGAACAGGACTAAATGGAAGGAATCTGTAGTCCCGTGGACCTGACTGAGGCTAGCTGTCCTAGGAAGATTCGGGAGATTTCTCAGAATATGGAAATGAGGCGGCAACCCCCTCCAAAATCTTGAAAAAGCAGTAACTCCTCTGAAAAAAATCCAGCATCCAGGCCTTGCTTTCAATCCCTGATGGGACAGGCAGATAAACAAGGTAAGGTATGTTTTTATTAGAAAAAGAAGCAAGGTCCCTCAGGACTGCCCAGCCTGAATAAATTGCCTTGAAATGCTCCTATAACCTCATTAAAGTCTCAGGGAACCAAGTAAAGGACGCATGGGCACAGTCCTGGAGTCTCAAATCTGGTTTAGAGGCCAGCTGTAACAGTTAAGAAATCCTCTACTCTGAAAGGCCTTTATCAACTTAAGAAAAATAGTTTGGTTGTTGCTGATCTCAAGGTCAAAAACTCTGAAATTATGCCAAGTCACAAGGAACCTATAACTCAAAACAAGAAAATGGGAGCAGTCTGACCACGCGGCCACCTGCTGGCTGTAACAAGAAAAACAGCAGAAGTCCCATCACTAAGGAGCCTGCCCTAATACGGGTGGGCTTCCTTCTCCTTTGCTGTCAGACATTCTGTTCTTTGCAGGTGGGAACTGTTTCCAAGCTCCTATTACCTTGATACACATCACTTTGAGGGACTTAAGGATAAATACAAGTGTGAGACATCCAAAATTTTTATATAGTCATTAAATACTGAAGGAATGCAATAACACAAAATACTTATTATATAATGTCCTTCACCTGTCTATTCCAATATTTTGACTCTTGATCATTGTTTAGAACCTGAACATGTAGTAGCAACCAGAGTTTCAGATTGTTTATGAGATGTAAAGGCTTTGAAGGAGCTATAAATTGCTGAGTGCCCTTTTTTTTTTTCGATTTTTATTTTTTATTAGCAAATTTTTCATTAAATTTTGCATTATGTAATGCAAGTTGGTCCACATATATAACACATCTTAAATTCTTTTTTATCCGCTTCGCCCTGACATCTCTTAATCCCCTTCCCAGTTGAAAAATCTATTTCTTGTTATCTAACCTTTATTTATTCTTTATTTATATTTTGAATTACTCATAGAAGAGAAATCACGTGATATTTAGGTGTATGTGTCTGACTTATTTCACTTAATATTATGGTTTTAGGGTGCCTTATTTTCCTACAAACGACTCAGGCTTATCCTTCTTTATGGCAGAATAGTATTGTATGCTACATAACTGCATTTATATTACCCATTCATCTGTCAGAGGATATATAGACCTCTTTCAAGATTTAACTATTATGAATTGTGCTATTTTAGACATGAATATGTACGTATCACTATAATAGGATATAATTAACTCTTTTGGGAATAGTTGAATTAAATGGAATATCTACTTTTAGTTTTTAGGAATCTCCATATTGATTTCCATAGTAGCTGTATTAGATTACATTCCCACTCAAAATGTAGAGTGATTCCTTTTCCACCTCAGCCTTACAAGCATTTGTTATTATTTAAATTTTTTGATGATAGCCATCCTTTTTAAAGGTGGAATCTCGTTGTTTTAATTTACATTTCTCTCATAGTCAGTGATGTTGAACATTTTTTGATGTATTTATTGACTATTTGTACTTCTTTTTGAAAAGTAACTATTCATTTCACTTGCCCACTTTTGATTGGGTCTTTTATTTTGAGGGGCCTAATTTCTTTTAGTTTTTTATGTATTCTAGATATTAGGATTTATTTGAAGAATAGCTGGTAATTTTTTCTACTCTTTTAAGTTGTCTCTTCACTCTGTTGGTTATTTCCAACAGAGTGCAGAATCTTTTTAATTTGATATGGTGACAATACATCAGAGAATTCAGAAGAAATGTATAGCTTCCTAGAAACATAAAATATCAAAACTGAATCAAGAAGATATTTTTAAAAAACCTGAAAATTCCAGTAATGGGCAATGTAATTAAACAAATAATTTTTAAAATGTACTAAATAAGAAATCCCAAGTCCGAATAGAGTCACTGCCAAATTCTGCAAGGACTTCGGAGAAGACTAATGCCAATACTCCTCAAACTATTTAATGAATTCAAAAGGGAAGGAGTACCATCAAAGTCTTTCTTGGGTGTTAGCATTACCTTGATTCCAAAATCCAATCAAGAAAGAATGACAAGCCAGTCTTTTTATTGAACACAGATGCAAAAATTTGCAAACAGAGTCCAACAAATCATCAAAAAGATCATACATCATGGCCAAGTATTCTTCATCCCAGGGATGCAAGGATGGTTCAACATATACAAATCAATAATCTTTTTTATTCATCATAAAATGCATTGTCTGGTGACCAATACAAATAATATATTCCTATCTATTCCACCATTCCTCTCCACTGGAGCTATATGGTCTCTAATCTACTGGGCTAAGAATACCAACTCTTTCACTTTACAATCATCATGCCCAGGGGTTTCTCAATGACTGAGAAAAAATTTCCTGTTTTCTTATGTCTAACATTTTCTCATTTGGAGTTTCTATGCATATATCATAAACTTTTGTGTTTCTGGTCAATCATAAGTCTAAATATGCTACCAAAGTAGTCATCTTACCTCTTGGTTCCCACTTTCGGATTCTGAGGTATGTCTATAGTGTTCAGAATGGAATCATGCTTCACAGCCAACCCCAAGTCTGCTATGGCACAAGTTTCACATTTTTTCACTAAGATATTCTTTGATTTTATGTCTCGATGAGCAATAGCAGGTTTACCTATAAAGCATTAAAAATAATATCAATCTTTTTCTTTACCAAAAACTGAATCTTTCCAACAGACATCACTCTATCACTCTAAAGACTTAACTCAAATGTTACTTAGAGAGACCACTCACTCAGTATTCCAAGTACTTCTCTAACAGAGCACCCATTTGGCCATTTTCAGGGCTCATATTACTATCTATATTATCTTGCTTGTTCATGTGTATGCTTCATCATCTGTCTCAACTAACCTGTTAGTTGAATGAGGACAGCAATTTTGTCCTGTTCCTCACTGTGCCTCCAATGTTTAAAATACTAAGTGACATTTATAAGGCACTAATAAATATCTTTTGAACAAATTGGAGATGAATCACAATGACTATGCATACCTAGAGCATAGCAGATATTTTCTTACAAAACAAGTTTCAAACATTTATTCTCCTAAACCAGCAGTATCTAATGTGGCCATAAATCCTGCAGGAACTTAGACACTATCTTGTAATAATTTATCTGTGTAGTGTCCTCTTTTCTGCATTTCAACTAAAACAAAATTTGGGGACAGATTTAAGTAAGAATAGATACAAAAATCTAGTGATTAAGCCAAAGTTAAAGAGCTTTGCAGATATGTAAAATAAGACAGGTGGGTCGCTAGGTGGGTTTTTGTATTAGAAAAAATTATACTTTAAAAAGGTATTATCTATGTTAACTTTTAGCTTCTAGTACATTAAACAAATATTGTTTAATTTTAGTATGATAAATATTAACATAACCTACATTTCAAAAAACCTTGGAGGTCTCAGTTTTTGAGCATAGAAAGCAATCCTGAGTTACAATTTGAGACCCATTACCATATTTAATGGTCAGTTCTCTATTAAATCAATTCTAGAGTCAATCAATAAATTTTTAAAGCAATGAGTATTATTGGTCCTCAAATATATAATGTGCAAATGTTTTTCATGGTCACATTATCCTCCCCAATTATTTTTTAGTTACAGGATTTGGTTAGTTTTTTTGTGATAGCCCCAAGTATATGTGCTAAATGGCAAAGATGGAACACTAAAAATAAAATATATTATGAACAATATGGTAAGGAAATATATGAAAGTTGGCTGTATCATGATAAAGCGTTCAGCTTTAGAAAGCACTTTTATTGTTCCTTCATATTTGATCATTGTAAAGAACTAAAATACAACAGAGCGATTGCAATTGCTGTACTCATTGAGGGAAACAAACTGAAGCACATACCTTGTGTACCAACAATCTCCATGTGGAGGTGTGCCAGACCACTAGCTATTGAAAGTGCCAGTTTGATCATTCCAGCCGCCGTGACTACGTTTCTATTCAGATAGTCATATAAGGAGCCCTGTTCATGATACTCAGATACGAGCCAAAGCTGAGTCCAAGTTCCATTATCTAACAGGAAAACATAATTTATTACTGAAAATACGTGTTGAAAAAGAAGCCAAAACCTTTTAACAACGTCAATATTTAGTGTGTATTGTTAACAAAGCAAAGTTATTTCCTTCAGTGGGGATGCTTACAGACTAAAGTAAAAAAATTTTCAGTGAATTACTGAAGAAGTTGATATTTTAGAACCCACTATAGAAATAAAAAGTTGTGAGGCAGTAATTCTAACAACTAGAAAATTCCTTTCTTATTCCCTCCAGTTAATACCTGCTGGCAATAATAACACATTATACAAGAAATACATTCAGACTCCGTATTGTAATATAAATTATTCTAAGCTTTTAAGAAAGATCTTACATATAACCACCAGAAATACAACCAATTTAGACAAAGTATTATTGTTATCATAAAAGTTCTAACATTTTCAAAGGTAAATAACAATGAAATATGAAGTTAATGATTTCCCCAAAGGGTTATATAAAAAGCCAAACACAATTGCTAAGAATTTTTGAATTTACTTCATTTAACCAAAAACTAATCTAGAACATTTTTTAAAAATTAATGGAGGAGAAATTTGCCTAATGTTTCTTTAACATATTATTCTAAAGATATTAGTCTAAAAAAATCCCTACAATAACTTGGATGATCCTAATTTTGATATTCTAGGAAAGAATTCTATAGTGAACACTTGCTAAGAAACTCTGCTGCTAGATGCTTTATGTACAGAAGCTGTTGTTGTCCAAATATTTAATTTCCATGCCTAGGTAGTGATAAAATACCCTAGGGACACAAATTGCTACAACATGATAAAACTTACTGACTTAACTGGTCACCTACACAACTACCCTTATTCCTACTCTCCCCCTGTTGACACTAGTAGCTATCTTTGCCCTCTACTATTAATGTCTTTGTCAGATAACTGACTAAAAAGTGAAATTGTAAATGTTGTGAAAGATAGGAATTCATGCAAAAGATATAGGTGAGATTAGAGGCCACTTGATATCATTCACAGAGCGATGACAAGAAGTATAACAGAGGTAGATCAGTTAAACTGAAAAAGCCAAGGATGACTTCTTTTATGCATATTATTTTATAATCCAATAAACATTATTTTGAATTAGTCTAGCAACATGTACCATAGAACTACATTCACCGAATTGACTGTATTGCTAAATAATCTCACCAGTGCATAGCTCAGCTCAAGATTAGGAGGAAGGAAAGAAAGTTCTTCATAGATGAATGAGAATGAATATCTCATTTTTGGAAGTTTGGGAATAATTTTAAGTTGTATATAGCTAAAAATTTGAAAGTTATATCTCTACCTCATGTGGGCTTTAATCAGTTTCCCCCTAGTAAATCAGAAATGACAAATCATCAGCAAACATAATTATGGCCAAAATGTACAACACTAAACCTCTTTTTTGCTGATTAGTCACTAATGAATACTTTCATAATCAAATTTATATTGGACCTAAATAACCACAAGTTTGCACTTGTCATAGGCAAAGGTATAGGTCTGACATCCACAAATAGTATGTTATGCCTTGTTTTGGATGAGGGTGTAACTGTGATTCCATTAAAGTTCTCCATGACTACTACTGATTAGATTTATAGTTATAAAAGTGACTGGATCAAGTCTTGCTCACTCTTCTTCTTCATTTGCTTTCATTTAAATGAATAAAAGTTTTGTAGGAAATGACAGAGAGCACATAGGAAATTCACAGTCTTTGATTACTCAAACATGTATACAATATTCCAGGACTACTGATTTTTCAGCACTAGAAATCTGATGCTTTATTTTGTTCCAGTGAACTAAAAAAAAAAAAAATAGAAATAAGAATAGCACTGGTTTTTCACATATTAATGTTAAATCTTTTTGAATGTTAAACATTAAGATATAAATCACTTTCAAAGTAACACTGGTAGAAAATGTTACCAAAATTGTTTTGCTTACCATAATTTTACTATAATCTATAGACAACACACACTAAAAACTCAAATCCTGAGGGCAAAGCCTGTTATAAAGATGAAAAAAAAATCCAGTCCTAGCCAAGGTTCACATTTAGCTAGCATTCATCAGTATGTCTGTATTAAGAATTGAAATATTTGTGGTTGCTATCCAAAATTCCTAATATCATTTCTTTGCCCTGGAGAACTGCATGACCCTGCCTTCTAGTATGTCTCTGGATCATCCCACGACCAGCAGAAACCAAGTCAATAAACCTAGCAGGGGAGTGTTTTCCGGGACTGGGCTCTAGTTGAGGCTTCTACTTTAATTGGTTGGTTCCCATCAAAGAGCATCCATGAAACATTTTAAACCCCAAACTGGCCATTATATCATCATGGTTTCGTGTCACTTGTGTATCCTGCGTTATCATATGGCTGTGTATATTTATTTGTGGGAAAGAAGAGGGACTTTCTGTCCTTACTAAAGAAATTAGACTTTTGTGTAGGTTTTAGTAAAACAAAGAAATTATTTATTCTCATTGGTAAGACATGTAATGCTTTTCTTACCAAACCAAATTAGACACAAATACCTTTGTTGTCAGCAGCGATGAAACCCAGGATGTTTTCATGTCGAAGCATAACTGTCTGATAAATTTCTGCCTCACGAAACCAAGATCTTTCATCTCTGGAGGAGAATATTTTCACAGCCACATCTTCCCCACACCACCTTCCATGCCACACCTCACCAAATCTACCTTTTCCTACTATTTCTTGAAGTACAATTGTCCTTGCAATTGTTCTTTGAACCAGAAGAGGCAGACCTAACCAGAGAAAAGGTGGAATTGGTCATTAAAAGTAAATGTCAGAAAGCATTGTTATGATGACCATTCTCACTTAAAAAAAAATTTAAACACTTTACCAATTTTATCAAATTTGAAGAAATAAGCATCATTACAGCAAACTTCAGTGTCAAGTTAGGCTAAAGAAAAAATTCTAAATTATGAATATGAATTTCTATTCTATTCCCCCCAATATTTCTGAATACAGTCTGCTGCTGCATTTATCTGATTTCAAAGAACTGTGAATTTCCATGAATTGTCCTTCACTGGTAGTCACATTAATAAATGGAAAAAGTATCTTATCAACATGTAAAATAAAATGTATGGTTCCTGGTACAACTGGGAAGGCAAAAGAATTCTTCCTGAATTTTTTCAAATCAAGTTAAAATTTAAAAGAATACAATTCAATGAGTCAAGTAATGATGTTACACTAAAAACAGGTTTTCTATGGAATAAAAAATTCAATAAACTGCATTCCAATGTGTATGTACAATTATATTCTTTGAATCAGTAACTACCTCTAGAATTCTTTGTTAAAGATTTAATTCAAAAAGTAGAAAAGATGTCAAAAACCAAATACATTCTTATTATTTATAGGAAACAATAAATAAAAGTGTCAAGTGATTTAAAATTGTGAGTTATTATAAGCAAACTAAAAAGACTTAGTTTTATATTTTTGCTATGTCATCTGATAATGATAGGTGAGTTATTTAACCTCTCTGAACTTTAAACTTCTTCTCTGAAAATGAGGGGTTAGTGAAATTTCATACCTCATAAGGATAATATGAGACTTACCAAGCATGTTAAACAGCTAGCACATCATCTGATATTTCATGTTCAATACTGGTTAATCCTCCCGATATTACAGTAATCTCACCATGGATTACTTAGTCAATAATAATTATGCTACTTATAAAATATTCTTAATGACATGGGAAGTTACTTTTACTATAGTATTAAATGAAAGAAGCCTCGTAATGTTATCTGCAAATAAGTGTATTTAGTCTTTTAAAATGTGCACAGAGACTGGAAAGGAGATATGCTAAACACAATGGTGGTTATTTCTACTTGGTGGGATCACAGTGAATATGATACTCTTCTTTATAATTTTTCTAGATTTGCATAATTTCCACAATGGATATTAGTCTTATAAATAAAGAGGCTGTGAGACAAGTGCATTCTAGAAAGTCAGTGTAGTTACTGCCACTATATTTACATGACAGGGATAGTGACAACTCTTTAGCTCCTGGGGGTCTTAGGCCCTCCTCCAAAAAATGTGCCAGTTTATTTAGATGTTCTCATCTGTCATGAGAATGACCCACTACAGCTAAATAGGCACAGACTACAAATTTGATATTCTGAATCCCAACTATTAGTCACAAAGCCTTAAGTCAGAAGGTTTTGAAATCATCTGGTTCACCTGAGTATGTGCTGACTCCTCAGCAAACCATAGAAGTGACCATGTCATTGCCTCTTGGAACTCCTTACTTAGGCAAACTTTCAGATGCTATCTTTGTGAGTACTGAGGTTTTTCTCCATTTTTGAGCCAACCCATGAGAAGAAATTAGTTCAATTCAGAATGTTTATACATACTTATCTAAACTTTTAAATCACTATACGTAGTTCATTTTTAAAGAACAATAAAATTTGTACAGGACAGGAAAAAAGAAATCATCTGATTTAACCTTATCATTTAGAGATGAGAAAACTGGGGCCCAACAGCCATCAAAGCCCTTGTCTGGGCTGCTGGTGCTGCTAGGAGACTGACCCAGATCCAAAACACCTCTGCCCAAACTTTGCTCCCTCACCCTTCACAATGGGACCATAATCCTTCCCTTTAGAAAGACTTCTTGCATCAAATGGTAATGGATATTTTTGTATGTACGGTCAATTTTACTATTTGACCACCCATTGACAATGAAAATAATAATTGTTGAGCCAAATGTCAATGACAGTGTCTCCTTCCCTTATGGTCTTGTGTACACTCACCCACACTGACAAATATATCACTACCAACAACACAACAACAAACAGATAAACAAATAGATGTCAGTGTTTTCAAACTGCAATTGATCAAACACACAGTCAATAGTACAGATCAGAGACATAGAAAGATAACAAAATTAAGGAACTCAGTAGGCCATTTAAATTCAAAAGGTGAAAAAATTGCTTTGGTATCTTTTAATGAAACCACCAGAAATGAAGCTGAGGTAGTTCTCGTATTATAAACCTAGAGATCTCATTGGAAGATACACAGACTAGCCGATGCCAATCTTTTGTCAGCATCTACCACAACTATTTACCATGAGAGAAAGAAGCAAGCTAGCTTTCTTCCTTATAGAAGTCTAGCCTTATAGAAGCCACCTGAGGTGTAATCTGTGCTATAGAGATACACCAATAAAACATCAGTCTGTTTTTCTCTCTCACAGGCACTATATCTCTTTGAAATGTGTCCCTGACCAGGTCAGAAATAAGCTTTACAATTTTTGTTTCTCAGCATCTCACAAAGCAGCCTCATATCTGAGGCCACTAAACACTTAAGAAAAGGAGAATGAAACAGAAGCACCACCACCCCACCTGTGAGCTTTTGTAGCTGAAGCCCTAAGTTAAACCCAGTCTCTCACTATCAAAGGCAGAGACACCTTACGCTACATTTTAGTCGGTGGTCACTGTCAGGCATATGCAATCAGCTTTCACCAAAAACAAAACAAAACAAAACAAAACAAAACAAAAAAATGTCTAAAACACATTCATTTGATTCTTTAATTTTTATTAGCATATGTTTGCAGTACATAATGATTACATTATTGTGAAGAATTGTTACATGTACATAACACATTTCAATTTTTGTCTACCTATCCTTCCCTTATCTCCCCCTCTCTCCAACTTTCAGTCCCTTTTCCATTTGCACAAGTCTATGCGTGATTTCTTTCTTGAATTATTTTCTTTGTTTCTCCTTTTCCTCCTCTTCCTGCTCTATCTCTTGTTCCCTATCCCATTTGAAAAAGATCTCCCTACTTCCTATTATCTGTATTTTATTTTGCTATTTTTAAATACAAGTTTAAATACTGCATAATTCCTCTTATATGAGAAAACATATTTAAATGTCTTTCAAGAGGTCATTTATGCTTGCATTTCTTTCCTTTTTCCTATATAAGACCTTTAGAATAATCTAAGAGTCTAGACATTAATAAATCCAAATTCAGGTTTAAAGATGCCCAAAATATAAAAAAAGTTAACAGGAATTTTTAAATTTTATGCTCTACCTCATGACTATTTTCTTACTAAATATCTATCTAATACCCCATTTTAAAATCTGTGTTATTTTTATTTAAAAGAGAAATAGTCATCTTGAATATGTTTAAACAATTGCTCCAAAATGTACTATCCTACCTAACTTCAGATAAACTAGAATATCTTAGTGGGGATTAAATCAATGGTTGTTTAATCATTTGAACCTCACAAATTAATTATAAATGTTTTAAAGAAATTAAACATAAATTAGGGTTCTCTCTGTGACTAGAATATTGCCAAGGCTCAAAAAATTAGGGTACAGTGGACCTCTAAATGTAAAGGAAAAAAAAAAGGAAAGAGCTTTTTAACAGGTATTACTTTTAAAGAAAAAAATGCTAGCCTTACACTCAATCATTTAATCTGGATTCCAGTTTTCCAAGCTGTGCACTTTCAGATTTTCTTTCTAGTCTTCTTGTCTTGAAAACATACTACCTAATTAGGTATTAAACATCAGTCAGGCAGAGGCAAGTAATCCTGCCCCCACAAGCAGTAAGTATCCTGACTCTCTGGCCCCCATCAAACAATCCAAACTTCTGTGTCTTAAGTGCAAAAGTTTATGGAGATGTCAGCACACCTCTGTCAGCAACCTCAGTTAACGCTGCTTGCCTAGAAGCTCCTAAAGGCTTTGGCAGGAAGTTCTTCAAAATTTGTTGGGTTAATAATATTAATGATCTTTTCAAACCAAAAAGGGGCTTCCACAGTGGCTTTTCTGGACTTTTTCCCTTGGTCCACAAAACGAAATGCTAGCAAGATTCCTATAAATAATGAGAGAAGGGAATCTTTACAATTTGGGGGAGTTTGTTATTATGGGGAAAACTTGATCTGTCACTCTCAAATTCTTAGTAGGAGAAGAGAGACTCATTTAGGCCTGGCCCTCTGAATTGCTTTACCAGGGGCCCCTAGAATCCACTGAGGTGAAAGGAAGTTATTACATAATTTTAAGCAGCTAAAGCCAGTGCAGGAATGACCAGATGCTCTTGAATCTCTCCTTACTGTTTTCATATCTTACAGTAAGTTCCAGGCCTGCGCCCTGTTACCATCATACCCCAGAGTACCTACAGATCCCGACCACCTTTATTACCATAACTGAGAACACTCTAAGAGCACTACTCTGCACATCTCATGTCTTTTCCCCTTGAACTCATTGCCTTGAATACATTAACTCTAACTCTTGTGCCTATAAAACAAAACCAAAAACCCCTGCAATCATTATTAACTTTATGGGGAAGGCTGACCTCAGTTCAAACATAATTGTTTTTAGAAATGTGAAAATGAGAACTGGAATACATAAAGCTATACAAGACAAAAGAGAAGACTTTTTAGATAATAATTTTTTTACTTTTAATCCTAAATGAAGTTTCTAGACTAGAGTTTATCATGGATCTTCCAAGCATATTAAATGATGAAATGTATACTATATAGGCACTTTTGTGTTAATAAACATTTTTGTTTATTTTTAAATGAGTTTTCTTATGGCAAGATGGACAAAGGACACATACCAGAGCCAGAGCCAGAGGCGGTTACATCATAAATCAGATCTTTAAGGGTTTTTCCAGCGTGTACCAACTTGCATTCAGAGAGTGGCTCCTCTACACTCTGCCTGTTTGTCCTTCGGTAGCTGCACTGTCGGCCTTGGCATGCCCATATTGTCAGCATGGCAACTATGGACAGGAGGCAGACAGGCACAGTGATTACAATGGTCAGCTCCATGGATCTGAGTTTGGGGCTCTCTGGTGAGGCTGCAATTAAAAAAAAAAAAAAAGACACAACCATGATTCAAGACATTTTCATTATTTTAGAAACCAGTCAGGCAATCACCAAGATTGCACAACTAGAATATCCAGTTACATAGTATTTCCTTAGCATAGTATGCCCTTAGTTCATTAGCAGAGATGCTGAGATATAATCAGAAAAGACGGGGAGAGTTGAGATTAGTTTGCAGCGAGGAATGCGTATGGCGTAACAATGGGAGACAGAGTAAGGATCTCGGAAAAGCACTAGCAAGTGAAATCTTTGTGTAGGCTTTCAAAGTATTGGACACTTTGACGCATCGTTTTCTCACTCCTTATTTAGCGGCTGGTCCTTACAGTCCACATTCATTTATTCATTAGTTCATGACACTATTGGGCCCTTGCAATGAGTGACACTATCCCAGGTCCTGGAGATGCAATGGTGAGAAGGTTCCGAATCCCTCCTTTGAGGGCATAGTTCTCATGGGACGGCTGAGCAGACAGAGAGGTAACCCAGAGGTGGGGAGGGGTGAGTACCACAAAGATGAAGAGCGAGTGGTGGCAAGGTGCCACTCGAGATTTAATGGTTTCGGGAGGCCACTGTGTGGAGGTGCAGACGCAGGGAGACAAAGGAGCAACCACTGCGTTGCCACCTCTGTGGTTCAGGGACAGAAAGCAAATGGCAGTGCCAAGGGGGTCATGGACTCATCGCTCCCCAGACAGCCCCAGGCCTATGCCTGCCGGATATCCTGCCCATCCCTTGCTACTCAGACGCTGCACAACTCAGTGCCACATGGGTGCCATCACACTGCCTGCCAGAAGCTGCTGACCTCTGCCAGCTCCCAAGTTGGACAGTGACTCTTCGTGAGGTGCAGAGTTTGGGGCAGGTGGAGAGCTGGGGAGCAGCAGCATAGAGGGAGCAGGCTGCTCAACGCGGTTCACCCAGAGCGGTACAGACAGAGCAGACAAACGCAGCTTCAGGGATTATGGCAGAAGGAAAAGGGTTGAGATCCGGAAGGCCTTCTGGAAATCAGAGGAAGGCTGGGAACTTCACAGGCCACACTGCACGCATCCCGCCACCTACGGGAGGCCTCCAACCAGAGGAAGGGGGACGACCACAGACAGCCGGCCACAGTGGGCAGGCCGAAAGGCAGCAGAGCGCCACCTGCAGAAGGACGCAGCGCAGGCCCTGCGCTCATCTAGCTCTTTCACTCTCTGAGGGCAAGAAGTCATAGCAAAGGAAGCAGCTAGGAGATGCGTCCGACCTCCTAGACTCATCCGCAGAGGACTGGAACTCAGGCTCCCAACTGCTCTAAGTCAAGTTTTCCATCAGTAAATATGGGGGGGGGCACACTCAGCAAATCGTTAATTCAGTGTAAATAGGACCTACCCAGCCATAAAAAAATGTACATTTGAGAGGACTCCCATTTTTGTGGATACGTGTATGACTCTCTCTGTCTCTGTCTCTGTCTTTCTTATTTCATCTGGTAGACAGAGAGAAGGTATTTGTATATATGATAAAGGAGAATAAAAACTAATTAGTGCTTTAGTTGATAAAAACTCTTGAAGACATAGGCAAGGACTTTCTGAACAGAACCCCAGTTATACAAGAAATAGTTAACAAAAGAAAAAAAATTAAAAAGATTCTGCACAGCAAGGCAGACAATCAACAGAGTAAAGAGAGCCTACAGAAGGAGAAAAAATTGTCAGCTGCTCTTCAGATAGAGAACTAACATCTAAAAATATAAAGAAATTAAGTGCCAGGTGTGGTGGTACCATGTCTGTAATTCCAGCACTTGGGAGGCTGAGGCAGAAGAATCGCTGCGAGTGCAGGGACAGCGTGGACTATATACGGACCTCAAAAACAGCTTTAACCACACAGCCAGACCCTGCCTCAAAAAGCAAAAAGAAAATTAAACTCCCTCAGTCAAAAAATGGAAAACTGAGGCAAATAGACACTTCTCAAAAGAAGTGCAGAGCCACTAAGTATAATTTAAAATTTCAGCATCTTTGACCATTAGAAAAATGCAATTCAAAACAACACTGAGATTACATCTTACTCCAGATAAGAATGGCTATTATCAAAAACAATTACTATTGGCAAGGCTGTGGGGGAAAAGGGACCCTTCTACATCGTTCGTATGAAGGGAAACTAATACAACCAGTACAGAAGTCTGCATATAGGTTTCTCAAAAAATTATAAACGGAAATTCTGTTTGGCCCAGGTGTCCCTCTTCTTTCTTCCTGAAAGTTTTAAAGTCATATGATAAAGTAATACATGCATATACCTGTGCTTGTAGCAGCATAACTCATAATAGCTAAATTATGGGAGAGGCCTAATGTGTCCATCAATAACAATAGATGAACAGATGAAGAAATTCGGTATAAATATAAATTGAGTACTACTCAGTCATAAAGAAAGATGAATTTGAGCCATTTGTGGAGGAAAATGAGTGGATCTTGATAAGTCAGACACAGGTTAAATACCATATGTTTCTCTAATATGACAGCTCCAAGACAGAATTCAGAGACAGGCAGATGAACAGGAAGTAGACTCCAGGGGGATGGAAAGGATCTGGGGAAAGAGGGAGAGGGGAGGACAGTGGGGAAGAGCAAGTGAAATGAGGAGATGTGTATGAGGGCAGGTTCCCAGGATGAATGTAATTACTATGCATTACAGACATGTACTAAAAAATAAAGTAGCAACCACTGCAGGTCCCTTGGCAGGGACAAGTTCCCAGCAGAAAAAAGCCAGAGTAAAGAACCTAAAGGACCTTGGGGCAGGAGCAGGCACGGCAAGTTCAGGGCCATCTTCTGCCCAAAGTACAATAGATGAAGGAAAGATACTTGGGAAGAGGTCAAGGAGGTAAGAAAGGGAAACACAGTGTTGGGGCTTGCAAGCAAAGAGAAGGGCTGTGAACTTTGTTCTAGGCAGATACCACTGAGTTCTGAGCCATGAGACATATGATCTACTTTTATACTTACTGTTGGTGTTTGCATAGGCAACAGTAAAGCAAGAATAGCAGTAGAGAGACCAACGAGATGGGAGGTGACAGGCTTAGCTAACGCCACCTGAAATAGCACTTTCTTCTCATTCTCCTTCGTTCTGTAGACACCTGGCCCCACTTCATTTTAATTACTGGGTCATAGCATTACTGGGTACGTCACATACTCATTGATTTATTACCTGACTTTCCTTTGTGAAAGGAAAAAGTTTGCCCACTTGTTCCCAAGCAGTGGTGCCTGACACATAACAGATGAGCAGTAAATAGCTTTTAGAGGGCAGAATCATAAGCAGCTCCAGTTTTGCTCCTAACAAATGAGACTTTTTGTCCTCGAAAAATAACTGTGATTACTAACACCAAATAAGGATAGAAATAAAATTGTGGTGCAAATTTTTAAAATTATATATAGCCAAATATTTCCACTTAACATTATATATAGCCTATCTTCCACTTATGAGCCCTTTTTTATTTAGAAAAAAAGTGATACATGAAAAATCTCTGATGACAGATACTTCCTGTATCCTAAAATTATTTTGACACTTGAAATTGGTACACTGATCATATCCTTTCCATTCACTAAAGAAAGCATCAGCATCAATTTAATTTTATATCCATGTCCTACCATCGGCTGGTTGGTTTTTTAAAATAAGCCTTAAGAAATATTTGATAGGGGCTGGGGATTTAGCTCAGTGGCATAAGCGCCTGCCTTGCAAGCAGGCAGTCATGAGTTCAATCCCTGGTACCGATAAAAAGGAAAAAGACAAAAAAAAAGAAATATTTGATAGAATTCAAAATAAATTGAGGGAAGTTAGGGTCTCAAAGATCAAGGAGAAGAATATAGACACTGAAAAGAAAGAAAATCCCCATTATGGGCAGCCTTTTTCTCTCTCTGATCCTTGGGGAAACTTTGCCACCAACTCTGTACTGAATTCCAGAAACAGTATTAGAGATCATATCTGGGAAGCTATAGCATGATATTTGTAGCTTAGAGTCTAAACACATGACTATGACAACAGGCATTGGGAATTCTGCTTTTCCTCAGGCTTTCTTCTTTCCATGGACAAGGGTAGAAAGCTTATTGCATTAACTTACAGTGTGTCAAAAAACACAAAAGCAGAATTTTCTTAAAAAGTTTCAATAAAAAGTATTCAATCAATATTTAACATTGTTAGGCTAATGATGGAAATATAACCCAGGGTCTTTTGCTCTGCCGTATGAATTCTGACCTATCACCAGTTTTCCATCTCTGAAATTATTACAGGTTGTACAAATGCATCAGGGGGAATCTTGGCCTTCCAGTGCTCTTCACAATGTTCCAAAAGAGTTCATTGATGGCTTTACTTTGAAAATAATTAACCATGGTTTTTGCAACCACTAAACTTTGTGTTGTAAAAAAATTTTATTGTCCATTTCAAATGATCTTCAAAACTGTATCCATATTTCCATATCATCAAAGGTATCAACCTAGGTTCTCTAACAGTCATAAAATGTAAATACTTGTAATCATTTTATTTTTGAAACATCTATCTAAACATATTTTTAAAGATAAAATTTCACTATTAGATACATTTGCATGGCTAAATTTTATTTTGATATGTGTTATTAGGAACTGCCAATATAAACATTAGCGTTAAAAAGCTTATCGATTGTCTTCATTTTAGTAAAGCTCTATTAAGCAGAGCTCACATCATCACTATAGCAACTAATAAAGAGGCAAAAGGTCAGCAACCCTGGAAATAGAATAATCTCCATAAAAGTGCTCTGCTCTGATGCTTACCACTCTCAGGATGTTCATTACAGATGGGCAATGTTTCCACGTTTGTGCACAAATTTACTCATATGAGTTAGTAAGAAAAAAAAAGATTACTCAGCTAGAAAAGGTTAGCAATATCATCTAGAAAGAACTCCTTAAACACTGAGCAATTTTAAAAGCAAACATTTGTAAAGTGACACTTTAAACCAAATGTTGATTGTAATATTTATAGAAGATAAATGAAAAAAATA